ATATATATATTTTGTAATTCACAATTTGGTTTTTATTTTGTTTATGTTGTTTTGTGACACCTTAGAAAAAATTTAAGGTAGTCAAATTTATCAGTCTTTTTTTTTTTTATATCTTCTGTTTTGTGTCACAGTAGGAAAAATCTTCCCCACTCTGAGATGACTTTAAAAATTTTATATATTTTAGTGCTTATATTAAAAGTATTGTTTTTATGTTGAAGTCTTTGAACCATTAGAACTTTATTTGTTGTCAAATGAGAGGTTGAGATCTGTATCTCTTAGGACTTGGGCTTGGCTGCTTGGTAACCTCTTAGTTACTCTGCAATCTGGCTTTGGCCTCAGTCTCTCCATTGGAACTCTTCTCACAAAGATCACCACCTCCTTGATGTTGAATCTAATCGACTCCTCCCCACCCTTATCTTACTTGACCTGTACAGTGCTAAAAAATATTCCCCATTCCTCTCTTCCTATGCCTTTGTGTTTTCTCCTAGCTCTCTAGCACCTCTTTCTTGGCCTCATTTGTACATTCTTTTTTTCTCTCTTAAATGTGTGACTTAGGGTTTTTACCTGGTCACTAGCTGGGCCCTCTCCCCAGACACTACCAACCATACCCATGGCTTCACATATCATTCACATTTGCTCTTCTGAGCTCCAGACCCATATATCCAACTGCCTTATGGTTTCTCCACTTAGGTGGCCTATAGGCACCTCACACCTAGTACATCCTAATTTCTTCCTCTGAACCTGCTCCCCTTTCGTGGATGGTATCACCATCTACCCACCCACCCAAACCAGAGCCCAAGGTACCATTTTGACTTTTGCTTCTCCTTCTGTTCTAAAATTCAATCACCAAATCTTGACAGTTCAACCTAATAGCCTTCAAACCTCTCCATTTCTTTTCATCTCCTTGGTCATTACCATCTCTCATCTGGATGACTGCAACAGTATCCTAACAGGCCTCTCTGCTGCTACCCTCCAATCCAGGCTCCATTTTGCAGCCAGCTCACCTCTAAATTACAGATCTGATCATGTCACTCCTCTGCTAGTAACACTGCAGTAGCTCCCCATTGCTGGAGACCCTCAACAGGGCCCCAAAGCACTGTGAACTCATCACCTATCATTTATGCCTGAACCCCCGCCCCCCAGCCACAATGACCTTCAGTGTCCCGCACACACTGGGCTCACACACCATTCTGTCTGCTGTCAAGCTCTCCTTCCTCCCTTCCTTTGCCTCCTTATCCTCAGTTCTCTCAGCAGATCTTCTGCCACCTACCCTGCTCAGGATGATAGACCCCTCCTCTATATCCACAGTCCCCTGCACTCCTCCAGTCACTAGACCTGTTACACAGATTTGCTCTGGTACTCACATCCCAATTTGCAATCACTTTATTACTGTCTCCTCTCCAGCTTATCCCCACAACCTCACTAGATGGCACTGTTGCATCCCCAGTGCCCAACAGTGGAGTTTCTTGGTAAAATGCTGAGAAGGAATGAACGAATCTATCCCTTCAGAGAACACCCCAGCCGAGGACCCAGTTACATTGCACCACCCCCAGCTTTTCTTCAGGCCAGTTTCTTTTTTCTCCCTCACTTCTATCTATATTAAGCTCTCTAGTTTATTAATATTCTTTAAAATGCCAGTTTATTATATCATTTCTCTGGGTATCTCACAGGCACCTCACACTTAACATCTCCTAATCTCTTCTCACAAAGGGCTCCCTATAACCAGTAAAAGATTTGCATTTCCCCTTAGAATTAGAGATCCAAGCTCGAAGTGAGGGTAGGAGAGAGGGATAGAATAGAGCTGGGAGGCTTTTTTTTTAAAGTCATCTTTATTGAGGTGTAATTTACATATAGTGAAATTTGCCATTTAGTTGTACCGTCTATGTATTTGACAAACATACACCATCTTGTAACCACCACCGCAATCAAATGTATAATATTTTTATCACCTAAAAATTCTCTTGTGCTGCCCTTTTGTAGTCAATCACCATTCCCTACTCCCAGCCGTTGGCAACCACTTTTTTGACTTCCTTTAAGTTTTGTCTTTTCCAGAATGTCTCTTCTTTAACTCAGCATCATACTTTTGAGATTTATTCATGTGTTGCATTTACCAGTGATGTGTTCCCTTTATATAAATGAGTAGTATTCCATTGTATGACTGAATGACAATTTATCCATTCATTAGTTGATGGATGTTTAAGTTGTTTCTACTTTTTGGCAATTATGAATGAAACTGGTATAATTATTTGTATAAAGGTCTTTATTTAGACATGTTTTCATTTCTCTTGGGTGGGATTGCTGGTATTGTGGTAAATGTATATTTAACTTTATAAGAAACTGCCAAACTGAACGGGGAGGGTCTTATATGAATCACTGAGGAGGAGTTGGTGCTACACAGATTTGACCCTGTAATTAATCTAAGCACCTAGTTAAGCGTCCAGCTCTGGGGACTGAATAAACACCAGTAACCAGAACCTGACGAAGCCCAGAGTGTTGGAGACAGGACTGCTCTGGAAGCTGGGACACACCCAACACATGGAGCACCAAGGGGGAGGTCTCTCCCTGCCCCGCTGTTCACTCAGTGGCCTTGGAAACAGCATCTCACATTCCCAGGCCACCTGTAAAATGAATGTTTGGATGCTAATGTTTCATATACTCAGAAAACAAATTAATAAAATCAACAAGATTGGAGGGACTGAAAACTTGACACAAAAAGAAGCAATCTGAACCATATTTCAAATGAATAGCATACTGATACAGAAAGGGGGCTATAACTAACCAAGCAATTAAGACAATTTAGACTATATATGTCCTCAGGCTCAAGACAAAAAGAACTTGAAACATATATTGAATTCTAATTAGTAGGCTTTTCGGATGGGTAATTTTGAAATGACATTGTATATATTCTAGGATTGTGCCAATAAGTAAATACCTTGTGAATTATGGGAGCTCAGTTTTCTCTTATTAGAGAAGAGTTATATAAATATTTAAAGGGCGAAGGGTGAAAAGTACCTGGGGATTTTTTTGTACTATTTGGGGTAATATTTTTCTAAGTCTGAAATTATGTAAAAAATAAAAATGGTTGGACTCTATCAGCACTTCTTAACTCCCTTACATTAAAAATCACCTGGGCTTTTGATAAAAATTTAATACTCTAAGAGCACCTTCCCTTCCACCCCAGAGTATTCTGTGTCTGTTCATTTGGGCCTCAGAATGTACATTTAATATCATCAAACACATTTTTGAAAGGCTGGATTAAATTATCTTTGAGGTCCCTTGTTCCATGCCCTGGAAGAGGCAAATGTTAAGCCAGTGTTAAAAATCTGTTGGTGAGATGAAGAAAATAGACCTAACAACTCTCTATTTGTCTGAAGTACATTTATTACAGAGTTGAAGCATTCACGCAAATACCAAGAGGGCATAGGAAAGCTCACTGGCAATCTCCCAGGAAGAGCATTCAGGAGAAATTTCAGAATTCTTCAAAAGTCAAGTAGACATCTTCTAGAGTTACACATTTCAGGAAGGTGTGTCCAGATTTCGATTCTTCCAACAAGACAAGTGCCTGCCTACTGGCCTTGGGACCTTTGCACTCACTGCTACCCTGACCTGAACCCTGCCCCCCACCCCTCCCTCACACACATGTTGGCACAGCTGGCTCCTTTCCACCCATCGAGTCTCTCCTCAAATGTCAGCCTATCATAGTGCCATCCATTTTCACCTCCCTACCCCACCCTTCTCCAGGCTCATTTTCTTTATAGCATTTACCATCATCTAAATTTATCTATATATCTAGTCTGACTGATTGGTCAGAACGTCGGCTCCATGAGGGAGGGATAGCCTAGGTTTTGTTCACTTCTATATCTCCAGTTCCTAGGACAATGTTTGTTGTATATATACCAGGCACTGAATATTCATTGAATGATTTAGTGATGCACACACGTACAGGAATCTCTTATGATAAATGAACATGTTTGCAGTGCGGCAGGTGAAATATAACCAAACCAAGTTGGAAACAGGACGAGTATATTATAATAAATACATTTTATTTATTTATTTCTCCCACAGAGTTTAAGAAAAACAGACATTGAAAAACATCTTGAGTTTGGGAATGGGTCTTTGCCTTTTTATCCATAATGGATTGTTGACTAGAAAATCAGAGGCCGGCATTCAACTAATACGTCATTAAATGTCGTTAATACAGTGTTAGTAGGTATTTCATGTAAGAAGGGTATCATGACCAAAACAAATTTAAGACACAGTAGAGCCAAATGAAGTGTTTCTTCTACATATTTGACGAGCCCATTCCATTCCACCTATCTTCTTCAGAACCTCTCAGATGAGCAGTTCCACAAAAAAACACTTCAAGAAAGATTGCAGCAGACCAAATATTTAGATTACTTTGTACTCAAAAAGGCTTCTAAACTTCCTGCTTCTAATTCTAGTCAACAATGACAAATTCATATCTTTAGAAAGAAGTTGGAGCTTTACTTTCTAAAAACTGAGCAATGGAAAATCAAACTCTACAATGAGTGAAGGGAGATACAGTTTGACTAAACGGTCTCATTCAAATGCATTTAAGTTTGATCACAACTATATCTGGTAAATTTTAGAGTAGTGTTTCTCAAAGAGAGGGAGGAGGAAGAGGGCATCCCATTAGGAGTCTACCTGCTGCCATATAATCCCTTTCGAGACAATGAGTGCCACGGTGAACAATTGCCATCAAGGGGACATGGCATATCTCAAAAGTATATTGAGACATTCAAATTTTTTTGAGAACAGCATTAAAAAACTTCACCTGACCTCATGCCAACCTTTTTAACTTTCTGGGATGGTTCAGACTTAATACTTAATGATAATTAATATATTTGAACTCATTCTCACTCCATATTAGAAGTTTTCAAATCAGTGTACTGAAAACTGTTATAAAATTTTAATTTGTAATTCCAAAAGTATACAATGGAACTAAGTTTACCAAAATTATAAAAAAGTTATGAACACTTGGTCTTATTTTGTGGACTTAACATTTTATTTTTATCTTTAAGCATGATGAAAAAACAACATAACCAAAGATTAAAAAGTGTAAAATTCCTTCAAATCACCCATTATCTTTCAATTATTTGAGCTAAACAAAGAATATTATTTTATTGTTATAAACAAGAGTATTTGAAAGGCTTCATGTCTTTGGCATTACTAAAATAGGATATTTAAATATTTTACCTTTTTTCACTATAAAATTGAAGTTATAGTAAGATGAAATGGAAGCCCACAAACCCTTCTGAAATAAAATTCCATTAATGATATCAGACTGTTACTAAAAAACAAATTTTGTCATACAGGTTGCAATTAAGGTACCAAAAAATTTACCAACCCATATAATTTTATCAGTCTACCTTCCCCAGAGAAAGTAAACAAATAAAACTAATGAAATTATATTTCTTGACCACTCTCATCCAATATAAATTGTTTGCTACTTGTCCTTAGAGAATTAGACAATGAGCTATTTACAAGGCCATTCAAGTGTCTGAGCCAGTTAACCACAGAGGCAGTATTCTAAGATATGGAGGTGTTTCCTGAGTTAGCAAAGAGGATCCTGCATTGTGGATGGCCCCTTAAGTCATTAGCAAGTGTAGATCAGGGGTTGATGGGCCTCTGTTAAAAATTATTTTATGTCAGCATTACTGTATGCTTAGAACACATCATGAAATATTGAACTTTAGTTAGTAATGCAACAGATGAGAAAATGCTCAGTGTTTTAGTACTATGCAGAGTAGAAAGTGGGACACATTGTTCGGTGGTGAGTTGCTGAAAATCATATCAATGAAAACCAAGCTGTTTAATCGAACTATTTAAATAGAATTGGAAAAGTCATTTTTAATAAATTTAAAATTTAATGAAATATTAATGATTTGCCTGAACGAGGACTTACTTGAACCCATGTTCCCCTTTCAAAATCACACATACAGAATCAGTGCACATCTAGAGAATTTTCCCCAGTTAAATACCCTATTGATATGAACCCATTCAAAAATGGCAAGACACCAATCATTATGAGTATTTTAGGTCACTCTAAACCAGTACCACTGGCTTATGGTGGTGAGGATGTTATAGCTTAATGTTGACATCTGACACAAAAAGCTTATGGTCTGAATCATGTTTCTTTTTTATGTAATTCTGGCTCGGGAATCCGATACAGAGCAGCTGAGAAATAAATTATGTTGCTGAGGCTGAAGATGAGGCAGAGAAGTATGGCTCCAGCTATCTGAGGGAAAGACAGGGCCCTGGAGTTGGCTAGGAGCCATTCCTTCCTCAGAGTCTTGTCCAGAAGTATGGCTTCCATCTGCATGTGTGTGGCCAGGATCACACACACATGGAACAGCTGGTGACTGTGACCTACAGCAAGCACACAAAAGGCCACCAAGATCAGCAATAAAAAAAGAATGACTATTGATACATTCTGTGGTGTGTATGCTAAAAACATCATGCTGAGTGAAAGAAGCTGGACACAAGAAATACATATTGTATGATTCCATTCATATCACATATCCAGAAAAGGTAAATCTATAGTGACAAAATGTAGATTAGTGGTTGCCTTGGGTAGGGGGTGGGAGTAAGGGTGAACAGTTACATGGGCATGAAGGATCTTACTGGGGAGATAAAAATGTTCTAAACCTCATTTATGGTGAATGTTGTACAACTTGGTAAATTTACTAAAACTACCATTAAATTGTATATTGAAATTAAGGAATTATGTGATTCGTAAAATATACTTAAAATTTTTTATTTAAAAAAAATGTAATGTGAGAAAAATAAAAAGGCCATCAAAGCAAACCAAATTCACCATTCTTATTTTTCACTTGAAAAAATTAGGCATCTCGTTCAAACAAAGGTCACCTCTTAAGAGTCAACACTTATGAGCTCAGATTCTAATTTCAGTGCCAAAGAAGAAACCAGCCAGTCTCTGCTGGCCACTAATGAGGTGGTCTTCCTTCTACTGCTGGTTAATCCCAGACATGACCGGGAGCTCTGCCTCCCCATGACCTGCAGGACCCCAGCTCACTGGTCCATGTCCACAGAGGGTAGGGGCCCAGTAGAGGGTGCTGAGAGGTTAGGGACATGCTCATTTGCTGCCTGGAGAGAAAAGGAGTCCATTGCCCAGGGCAAAGGACTGCTTTGGGGGGCAAGCCTCAGACGCCAGGAGTAAGATGAGAAGGCCACATGTGTCATGGGCTGTTATGTCTTCCTCTTTCAGATTCATATGTTGAAGTCCTAATTCTCTGTACCTAAGAATGTGACCGTATTTGGAGGTGAGGTCTTTAAGAGACAATTAAGTTAAAATGAGGTCACTAGGGTGGGGCCTATGATTGGTGTCCTTATAAGAAAAGAGATTAGGATATGGACATGCACGTAGACAGAGGGAAGACTACCGGGGAGGGATGGAGAGGATGGCTGTCTGCAAGCCAAGGAGAGGATTCAGAAGAAACCGATCCTGTGGACAGGATCCTGGATCTCAGGCTTCTAACTTCCAGAACTGTGAGAAGATAAATTTCTGATGTTTAAGGCACCTTGTCTGTGGTCCTTTGTTATGGCAGCCCTAACAGACTAATATGACGCAGGAGTTAAATAAGGATTCTCCTTCAGTAAAACAAAAACAAAAACAAGAAAGAGTCCAGTGTTGTATCCCAGGACTCATCCCAGGGTAAGCATTCTATAAATGTGTCCCAGGAAGCGACCAGCCTGGCCACCTGCACAGAGGGGCAGGAGCAGCATCAGGAATGAGAGTGTAGGAGAGTTGGGTCTTCTCAAGTGGGTGGTCAATGAATTCCTTGTGGCAGGGAGCAGCCAGCACCCCAGCCTGGGTTCCCCAGGAAGAAGATGTACTTAACGTAGCCACCTCTGCCTCACTCAACGCTATACTAATGGTCTGTGTACTATTTCCAAATCTGTGTGATTCAGCAAAGTGATTTCTTGTCCAGCAGACAGCCATGCTCTCTAAGGACACAGTGCCAAGCAGAGAGAAGTGACTGGCTGTGCTCACCAATGGAGGCTCAAACCTGTCTCTATGAGGACAGGAGATAAAAAAGACGGAAGAGCCATGAGTACTGGACATATCTGAAATGTGGCTACAGCAAGAAGAGTGGTTTCAACAATCCTACCTAACAGGAATGGGGTGGAGCTTCCTGGGGGCCAACACTATCCCAACTAGTCAAGTACTTCCCACTTGGATGGTTGGAGAGGAAGTCCCATATATGGCACGCTCAGTGATATAAGGATGGAGAACACTCCAAACCCCTTGTTAATGATCTGTCATTAACAGCTGTCTGGCAAATTTCCCCCCATAGGGTTGTCTTTGTTCTTTGTATCTCTAGGCCCAAGAGGATAGGATAGAGGTGATAAAATAAAATGGTATTAAGAAGCCAAGGAGTTGGTTAAATAAGGCCCAGGGCTATTTCTCCTGTAGCCCCCAGATTTCACACACAACCACCTCTACTTTATCCAGCTGGGGCTGAGGTGGTGGATGTGGTCGGCAGGGTTCTGTAGACAGGTACCATTTCCCTGGCCCTCTTGTCTCTCTCTTTTGAAATCTGCCTTCTAAGGATTTTGCTCATAATCTCTCCAGCAGGAGAGAATAAGTAAAGGAGATGAAACTCTAATCAGAATGAACAAAGCAAATCTGGCCATGCATTTTAGGTAGAAGGAGATGGAAAATCATGAACAAAATGGACTTGGGGAGAACCAAGATTCCTGCCCACCATGTGGGGACAAGGAGGGCCCTTGGATCCCCCTGAGAGCTTATCGGAGAAGTTCTCATCCCAAGCGCACATCGGCCTCACCAGAAGTGACCCAAGGGTCCCTCCGCCAGCCAGTCCCAGAACCTGGGTGGGGGAGACGCGTTCTGCAGTGCCTGCTCCACTACCGCAGATAGGGAGGGAAGGAACCCCACCAGCAGGCGTGAACCCTGTGGCTCTGACACCTCTTCTCCACCACATCACTTCCCTAACTTTAGTGAGCTCAGGCTCACCTGGAGAATCACACAGCCTCTCAGTGAGTGCTGGGCCCCACCCACCATGTTTCTGGTTTGGGAATATCTGGGGTGGGGCCCAAGAATCTGCATGTTCCCAAATGATGCTGAGACTGCTGGTCTGGGGACCATATCTGAGAACCACTGCTCTACCAAGATTCCTGGCCCCACCTGAACAAGACAAAGGCACACGTTCCCCTCCTCCGCATAGCCCTGCCATCTGGGACCCTCAGAGCCATGTGTACTCTGTCTTTCCTCTTCCCCTCCAGGGCTGACCTCAATGGTCATTTAATAATGGGATTTCACGTTTAGGTAAATATGGGACTCCCTTGGCCCCGTAAGAATGCTTTAGAATCCTAGACCCACTTCTCTATCGTCCCCTATCTTCCCTGACCACTTGCTGGCTGTGTACATCCTGGCCTCTATGAATTCACGATTTTACTCACCTTGGCCTACACCTGGAGAACTTCCTGTAGAACTGCTTCTCTCCCTGTCCCTGCCTCTCCTCTCTAACTGCATTGTTGGTGTCAGGGATGGGAGCTCTCCCCAGCTGGGAAGGCAAGGGCAGCAAGGCCCCCACACACTCACCGATGTAGTCAAAGCATCCAGGGGCTAGGCGCTCCGGCAGGTGGGCAGAGTAGAAGAAAGAGGCCAGGAGAGTCAAGACCATATGCTTCTGGTGGTACACAGTGGCTTCGTTCTGCGCATTCTCCCCTGGGAACAGGAATAGCTGCAGGTATTTAAAAGAAACATCAGGTCTCGAGAGGAGGCCCTCTTGCCATCACCTGCAGACATCTTGGCACACACGTGGGTTTGGACTCCGTAGGCCAAGGCCCCCACCTCCTCAGGGCTGTGGCTTTGAAAGGGAACTCTCAGGGACTGCGTGAGCAGAATTCCTATTCTGAATGGGATCAACTGAGACCCAAGGCAATTGTATTTTAATCCCCCTAAATGCTCATGAGAACCTTTAAGGTTATTTACTTACTCAAAAAAAAAAAAAAAAAAAAGAAAAAAAGAAAAAAGAAGAAGGAAGGAAGACAAAAGATGTGAAGAGAAAAGGAAAGGAAAAGAAAAATCCTATTCCCACTCTTTTTTCTGGGAGTAATGTGTCAGTATAGTAAAAAGTGATCATTTCACACTTGAACTCACTTCTAACCAGCATATCCCCTGAACTGATGCTCTTAATTAAGGTTTTAAGGCCTAGAAATCCCTCGAAGGCCTCTGAATCATCAAAAAGTATTAATGACAGCTATGATACTGTTTCTGAGTTAAGTATGGTTTTTTCGTGTTGTTGTTATAAATAGCAACAGCAGCCACCACCTTCAGAGGGCACAAAGCCAGGCCTTTTACTCGCATTGTTTCACAGGCACCTCAACAATTGCCATAAGGCAGATTCTATTTCCTCATTTTGTAGATGAGGAAGCTGGGCCGGAGGGTGACTTGCAAACCACTAATTAGAAGTGAAGACAGGATCTGGGTCCAGGCAGGCTAATTTCAGAACCTGCGTGATCACCAACATCACCATTTATGGTCAGACCTCCCGACCCACTGCTCACTGCAGCTGTGTGCCAGGAGCCCACTGCGCTTCCAATAACACAGAACCTGTGCTGTATGGTTTGGTGGCATGTGAGACCAGCTTGTTCTCTCTGCTCTGGTTTCCTGTGCATGGTCTGTGTCCTGGAGGAAGGATATGGGGGAATGGGCTGCACCCGCATCTCTGGGTCTCCCTCAGGCCCACATAGCCAGAGCACAGAGCACGTGCTCAGTGCCCCAGCTGAGGGAGCCAGCTCTGCCCCTCCCCTCACTCTTTGCAGTGCCCCCTCCCCCCCCAATTTCTACTTCACGCATCGGACCTACAGGTTCCCTCTGGGAGGAGAATGACACTCACTGGGCACTGGCCGTGTGCCAGGCACCACTAAGCCCAGCAGATCTGTTATTTTGATTAATCCATTCTACTCATCCCACGAAGGAGGGGATGTTAATCCCATTCACAGATTAGGAAACTGTAGGCTCAGAGAAGTTAAGTGCATTGCACAGGGTCACAAAGTCAGTGAGTAGTAGGCCTGGGATTTGAAGTCAGGCCCATCTGATTTGAGAGTGCATTGACTTCCCCCATCGCTGTCTTCCCTCCTACACCCTCTTCCTTCATGTTCTCCATCTAATTCCCATCTGTCCTTTAAGACCTTCATTAATACTTTTTCCATCACTACTAATAACATGTTAATTGATGTAATGTATAATAATGCTTTTCTTGGTCTCTTGCCACCAGCCAGCACTTTACACATGATCTCATATAATCCTTCCACAGCCTGATGAAAGGAGGTGTGATTACCATGCCCATTTTACAGAGGAGAGAAATCAAGCCACCAAGATGAAAGATGACTTGCCCAAATGTTCACAGTGAGTAAACGTTAGAGATTTGCCTTCAGAGCCTGCTCTCCTGGTCACTCTACGAAATCCCAGGCTGCGTCCCCTGCCCAGACCTCTGCTATTGCTCCTAAGCCTCCGGTCAGCGCTGGCAGCTGGCACATCTCCTATGGTTCATCAGGGCTTTGTGTCATGCCGTCTCCAACTACTCTGCAAGTGCCAGTAAGGGAGCCCCTGGGTCTCCACTCCCAAATGTCCTATGGTGACTAGTGTGGTGCTCTGACCCCCAGGAAACAACTGACTCTCTGGCACTGCCCACGGGCAGAGGAGATGGAGCTGGGCCCTTACCCTGTAGAAGATGGGGAGGGAGTCCCAGGTGTAGGGATAAGCAAATGCAAGGACGCGGAGCATCTTACAGAGCCTGGGCCTCTGGAGTTCCAGAAACCTAAATAAGGGAAGGAGTGGGTGGGAAATAGGAATGAAAGGAGTGTCAGTAAATTACACACACACACACACACACACACACACACACACACACACACACACACACACGCAAATTAAAAATAACCAAGGGCAAGCAGTCAATGGGAGGCAAGCATTTTTGCACAACCTCCTCCAGCGGCTTCTCCACCAGCCTTTTCCGGACCTCGCCCTGCCATCCCCACCCCCAGGGAAGTAGCTCAACCTCAGATGTGTAAAGATCTCAGGGGAAAGGGTCTCCTTGCACCATGAGAAACAATGGTATCCAGGAAGGAGAGTTGGGCAGAAGCCCTTCAAACGCCAAGTTATCTAACTGCCAAAGAACGTTTGAGAAGTACAGCGACCACCAGGACAGGGAGATGTGTCAGAGTGGGTGGCCCCAGTGGCAAAGGTCTCTGGGAGGAGCACATCTGTAAAGTTGAGATGCCTAACTAGTCAGAGCCACCCTGGTAATTTCCGTGCAGAAGCCCTGTTTCAATTAGGTGTTTAATTACTTTGTGAGGTTTCTAGAATATTTAATACCACGCACAGGGATACTAGCCTGGGGAAACTCAGTAAATGTGGTCTTTCCTTCCTTGCATATCACCATACCCATCCACCTCGAATCCAAAGACAAATGAGGCTAACATTAACATGAGTGGTACTGGCTGTCACAGACAGGCAGGTGCTCCAGGATGTTGTATGACGGGGACTCAGCTGGTGTGGGCCCAGCCTAAGGAGGGGGCAGCAGCTGAGGGTGTGGGGAGCTGAAGGGCAAAGACAATGTCCACACAAAACCACGGCCTTGAATTGGGCTCAGGTAAAGGAATGCTCACACATCTGGGCCAGGTGGTGGGACAGACATCCACTTCAATACCTCAGTGTGTGCCAGAGGGCTGGGTGCCCCCTTGGTGCCCACAGGGCTGCATAAGGATTGCGCAGAGCCAGGGAGCAGAGGCTCGAGGGATGACTGTTCTGGTGTGGTCTGTAGGACAAGGCAGGCACTCGGGCCCTCTCAGCCTCCCCAACAGTTCTGCCCTCATCATGCTACCCCATGGGGGATGGGGTCTGTGTCCTGCCACCACTCCTTACCTCTGCTCCCCAGACCCCCTCTCCTAGCCCACAAGTCTGCCCCTTCTCTCCCAAATACAGTCTGCTGCTTCTCCCAGGATTGGCCCATTTTCCCTGGCCAGGTTATCCATGTCCCCAAAGAGCCAGGGCAGTCACCTGACCACAAATGCCACTGCTACCCACATCCTTGGGCGTGGGGACATGGCAGAGATGCCCATATACACCTCCTGGTTGGTTGGGAACCATCTTGAGGGCTGGAGCTGGGTCCACTCAGGTTTGGATGCCCCGCGTCCAGCTCAGAAGCACGTCTGAGGATGTAGACATCCACCAGGCTGTGTTTCTGCTCAGCCCTCAGGGCTGCCAAGAATGGGGATCCATGTTCCAGGGTAAGAGGAAACCCTATGGGCCTGAGAAGCTCCATGGCCTCCAGAGACAGGCTTCGACTTCGCTCAAGCCCCCTGGCACATCTCTCCATTCCTGACCCTGCCCATCAATCAGAGAAACATGTGGCGGGCACGGGGTGGAAAAGGAACAGAAGCTCAAGGAGAAGGAGAAAGATAAATAAGGGGCCTCAATTCATCATCCCCCAAAACAAGAACCCCAGCCTTGGAGTAAACCACAAACCCCAGGACAGGTGAAGCAGCATAGTGCCATGATCTCGTAAGCAGAGTTTGACCTGGATACCCTGGGTTCGAATCCTGCCTCTGCTCTTCGTGACCGTGTGACCTGGCAGGTCATGTCACCCTTGTGAACCTCAGAATCCTGGCGTGTAACACAGAAACAATGACTCTACCCCCTCAGAGGCTTGCTGCAAGGACTTGATGAAATGGTACTCACAAAAAACATATGACTGTGCACAGCACAGAGTAACGCTCATTAAATGGCAGCTTTTGCAAACAGGTGTGTCATGGGGCCCATTCTCTCCCCCACTCATCCTGTAGCCACATTGTACCAGAAAATAAGAATACGAGGTAACAGACGGCTCTGGGTGATTTGTCTAAAGTTGGATGAGTAATAAGAGGCAAAGCTAGGATTTAAACCCAGGGTTATCTGGCTCCTGTTCCACACCCCCGCCATCCAGCAGGCTGAGCAGGCCTCAGACCACTACCCAGCCTTTGTCCTTACCTACGCCCCTCTGCTCCAGGGAACAAACCGAATACACTCCCACTGACCCCAGAACCAGGGCCCGTGTCTACAGCCTCCTCAGCCCCCCTGGCAGATCCAGTCTGACCATGGCAAGCCCGCTCCCTCCTTCCCCATGCACTGCTACCACCTGTCATTTCTGAGTTAAAAGAGGCTCGCTGTGAAAGTGCACTCTTTCTGTGGCCACTTACACAGGAAGAAAGCTGGCTCTGGCTGGTGAGGGCCATCCCCCAAACCATGGATTTCCTGCGACTTGAGACAACATTTCGCCCGGCCTGATAAAGTGCTTGATAAAGTGCTTCCCCAGGGGCAAACGAATCAGCCTCTCCAGCTGCAAAGCCGAGTCTATGGTGGGGGGAAAAAAGGAGAAAAAGCAGAACAGAAAAGAGACGGCACAGAGAATAAAAGGCAGAAGGGCCAGCAGCCTCAGAGAGGGGCCAACCACTACTAAGGTGCAAATCCAGGTTAGGCCAGAGAGTGTCGCCACAGTCAGAGATTCTGAGAGGGAGGGGTGGGAGCCTCGAATCCCACAAAGCACCCCAGGCCTCAAAGCCCCGCCTGGTATGGTAGTTCCTGCTCCCTAGAGTTGAGGAACCAATTTATAGGGAGTCAGCCTTCCTCTGCCCAGAACCAGACTGGCAGGAAACACCAGATTTCTGGAGAAGCCTCCATCAGGAGATGGTCAATGCAGTACCAGCCTGTTTTAAAATCTCGTCAATCTTGTTACAACAAAGCTAGACAGGTTTGCAAGCGAATTCTGGAACTAGCGTTTAAAACTAGTCAGCCTTTGAAAATACCATTCTATTGCACAGGGGTGTGTGTATGCGTGGGTGGGGCGCTGCAGAGATTTGTGGACATTTCCACACACTGGCTGCTGGCCCTAGCAGTACTTTGTCATCTGGCTGAGCCCTCTCAACTCCAGATGTGTCTGAGAAACACTGTCTGCTGAGCCTCCTGTTTCCAGCTCTGACCTCTGCACCCACTTCCAGGCCTGCTCCACGAGGCTCTGACCTGCCACGGCACCACTGCCATGGTGTGGCTCATCTTCCACCAGTGATGATGATTCTTTTCCCTCCCTCACAGCACTGACCACAAGGCATTTCACTGAGCAAGTACTTGTCAAGAACACAATGGTTGGATGCTTTGGCTGGATGAACAAAAAAGTCCCCACAGTGACTCGTGATGCACGGCAAACACTGTAACTAACATCCCTTAGGGCTTTTGGGTGGTTGGCAGGTGTGAGCAGGCCAGGTGTGAGCAGGCCAGATCTCTGTCGCACCCTCTGGCTCTAAGAGCCACAGAGAAGTCACACATCCCCTCATTCCCTTCTCAAATGCTACAGAACAAGAAAGCAGCTTTCTGAAACTAAATTCCATGACGATAAGGACTAAAAACCAACCAGGGGGGCGCACAGTTCCCCACGTGGGGATTTATCTTAAGGATGTGTGCTATAATGGAATAACTGCCATTTAAGCCATGATCGTCTGATGAGCATGTGAATAAGTGAAAAGCTACTAATGAGATTCCTGGTCTCCTGTGCTCAGGGAAGGAGAAGGTGCTTCGAACTAAATTCCATGATAATAAGGACTAAAAACCAACCAGGGGGGCGCACAGTTCCCCACGTGGGGATTTATCTTAAGGATGTGTGCTATAATGGAATAACTGCCATTTAAGCCATGATCGTCTGATGAGCATGTGAATAAGTGAAAAGCTACTAATGAGATTCCTGGTCTCCTGTGCTCAGGGAAGGAGAAGGTGCTTCTCTCTCCCCTACCCTACCACCCTGGCCATACTACGAACCTATGGAGCAGGAGGGAACGGCAGGAGAGAAATTTAGGGATTGTAGATTGCCCAAACCAGAAAGAGCCTAGAAGGCATCTTCTCAGATGCCCTTGTTTAAGGTGTAGACACTGAAGCTCAGAGGAGGTGGTGACTGGCCCGAGGCCACACCGCAAGTCTACGAGATTCCAGGATTCCATGGGGCATGTGCCCTCTTCTCCACCTGCTTCTCCTGAGGTTAATCAGGGCCGGAGTCACCCCCTGCCCATGAGTCATCCTCCACACTCTGCAGACACTGAAGACCATGAAGAGAGGGAAGGAACACAAAAAGGACAGGCTTGGCAGAGCAGGGAAGCTGTCAACATGGAAAAGAAAGAGAACAGGGGCCCTCAGAACAGGGCATCCCGCTCATCTCTGGTGCTGAGACCGGCGTTTGCCCCCTCTCCCCTTCTGTTCCAGCACAGCCCCCTACGTCAGTGGTTGTTAACACACCTGGAAGCCCCTCAGGGCATGGAAGCTGAGTCCAAGGAATTGTCTTCCTAGGAAGATTACTGTCCTTCATGAGCACAGAGCCAGTCTGCGGTAGAACATTCGAGGCGCTTCAAATCCCCAGCTGCCTTTGGAGCCCGTCTCTAGCTGCTGTCTCCCTTCCAGCTGTGCAAGATCCAGCAACCCTGAATCTCTTTGCTGCCTCCCAAGGCAGGCCCATCCTCTCCAGCCCCCCTGCCCTTGTCCAGGCTGTTTTCTCTGTCCAAAGGTCCTCTCCTCTCCAGCTAATGTGTTCTACCTCTCTCAATAATCAGTCCTAATGCCACTTCACAGAACCCTGGGTATCCAGGCAGGTGTCATTCTGTGTTATCATTATTTGTTTATGTTACATTCTGTAATGCTACACTCCAAAGGCCATTTCCCTTGGCCTTTAGGGGAAATGAAGACTCCATCTGGACTTCTGGGGGATCTTCAGTCTGTCTCTCCTCATCACTGGGTGCTCTCTGGGGGCAAAGACTGCGCCCCACTCCTTCTGATATTCCAAGATCTTAACATGATGCCTGGAGCATGGCAGGCATCTAAAGAATGTTGAATGGATGGATGGATGGATGGATGGATGGATGGATGGTTGGGTGGACAGGTGGTTGGATGAGATAGACACAGATGTGCCCCATAAATAGATAGAAATAATCCATTTCATTGACAAGGGAAAAGCCCCCAAACACAGGCATTCAAGAGATTCCTGGCCAACCTGCCTTGCCAAACAAGTTTGTCCAAAGGTACCAGGCTTGCCACATGGAAAAGATCCATTCATCATATCAGCGGGACTCCTCACTAGAAGGAAACCATCTACCCTGGTGGCTTATAGGTAACTGAGGAAGCTTTAAAAAAAATGCATCAAATGTTCGAGGAATTTGCATTGGGAGCTCATGGGAAAGCAGCCCTAGATCATGAACTCTGGGACTGTTTCTTGCACACCCACGAAGCCTTCCTGGCCTCCTCAGCCCATAGTGCTCACCTCTCTGGATCCTAACTTCCAAACACCAGAGCTACATGGCCTTGAAGGAGCTAACCAGACAGGACAGACAGTGACTCGTCCAAGGACCAGATCCAGGTGCGTCCGGGTCCATGGACCAGGCCATCAGTGAGCCCACTCATCCAGGCACAGTGCCTTGTGGGCATGCTTCATCTTTCTTGGGAGGTTTTTGGCATCTTGGTTACTTTTCTATTTGTGTCTCACCTAAGGCAGGAATCTGACTCTCTCCATCCTACTCTCTCCATCACCTGTGCAGCCCTTCCAGCACTGGCCTGGCATGGGGGCTGTACTTCAGAAAGAGCTTTTAATCCCCAAGGTCCTTGAGAAACTGGGGAAGAAGGAAGGAAATAACCATCCTATGGCATCTGATTATATTCTCTACCCTTTGGGCAGACCCTATTGCCTCACAGCTTTAGGGGAGCTCTGTGATTTCCAGGAAAAGGGAAAAGAGTTCACCCTCCACTTCCATACCCAGGCCTTTCCGCGGGACAAACTAACACAAAACGCAATGCTGAGACTGTGTCTACAAAGGAGACTCACACTCCTGGAAATCAACTGCACGCTTCGACCTGTCCCAGGACAGGTAAGTTGGGGCAAGTTGGGGCAAGTATTCTCAATGCTATTTAAGAATCTATCCTTCCATTCTTAAAAAAAAAAAAAAAAGCCAGTTTGTCAAGTTTGTGAAACTTGCATACCTCTTGGTCCCACAAAACCCAAGTGTCACCCAAAGAAAGCTAGAGCCAAAAGCACTGTGAAGAAGATACAGAAGCATGCCTCTCCTTCCTTTTTTTCCTGTGCAGAGGGAGGGTGGACGGGTGCAGGTGACAGTAGTAATTCTTTGAGGACTACAGCCATCTAATAGGGAGACTCAAAGTGGCTCACTGGAATCACGGTTGAGGGGACAGATGGTCAGGTGCGACCAGCCCACCTACCATGGCGCCACTGAAGGTCCCTAGCCTGCAAAGAACCCAGCACCTGGCACCATCTACAAAGGCTGCTGCCCTGACACCACTATTTGAGAGGTTTCCTAAATAATTTAGGGAACCAGAGCTTTTGGACAGTCACTTTTACAAAGAGCTGAATAAACTAGAGTAGTTATCCTCAAAACAATGTCTCTTGTACTCCAATACGCTTTCTTGAGTGAAAGGAAAAAAAATAGAATTAGAGCCAGTGAGCCAGGTGTGACTCATGGACATGGAGTTTCACCTGGGCATGTGTCCAACATCTGAATATCATCCATCAGCCATCACAAGTATCTAGAGGCAGTCATGAGTAGCAGACTGCCTGTTTGTAGGGTGCTCCTCTGGGCCAGGCTTGTGCCAGGTGTTCTAGGTATGTATGTTACCTGTAATCCTTACATCTGTCTCACAAGGTAGATATGTTGGCCCCATTTTACAGATGAGCAAACTGAAGGTCAAGGAGGCTAAATGACTATCTAGCAACAGGACCAGCTATATAATTTGCAGGGCCCAGTGCAAAGTGAAAGTGTAGGACTCCCTTTTAAAAAATCATTAAGAATTTCAGTATCGCAATAGCAGAGCATTAAACCAAGTATGGTGCCCTCCTGATCGTGGGGCCCTGAGCAACTGTACGGGCTGTGTGCCCGTGAAGCTGGTCCCGCTCAGCCACAGGAAGTCCATGTGGAACTGAGCGCCAGGCTCCCAAGTGCATCTTCTGCTGTTCCTTCCCACAGTCCATGGATCTGCATGCAGGATCACCCTCCCCGTCCCATCTGAGATACGGTGGCCAGGTACCTGGAGTAGCAGGAGAGGCCAGTGCTGACGATGGTGTTCAGCACAGCCAGGGTCACGTAGTAGTCACAGAAGGTGGTATGCACCAGAGCATCGGGGAATGTATAGGCAGAGTAGGCGATGGCCGAGCCTGGGGAGGAAAAACCAGACTTGGGCAAGAAGCCACGACTTGACTTGGCACTGTCTGGACTCCTTGGGAAGACCCACCCCAGCATCTGGCTGAGCCTCACCATCCCCACAGACCTGCTGCTATACCCTCACTTGTGCCGTCGCCCCTGCCTGAATGGCCTCCTCTCTCTTCTCCACCTACCCAGATCCTATCCTGAGAATTTACATTGCTCCAAGGGCTTTATATACATTGACTTGCATAATCTTTAAAACCACCATCCTGCACTTATCTTCATTTTGCAGATGATAAAACAGAGGCACAGAGAGGTTTAATAACCCACCCGAGGGCACACAGCTAGAAAGCAGCAAAGCCAAGCTTCAAGCACAGGCAGGTTCAGTGACAGTCCCTGCTATAGGCCACAGTGACACCCTAGTGTGCTTAGCTTTGCTCTAAGCATGCACATCTCACCTGTCCAATGGCACGGGATTTTCCTTGTGGAAAGATCAACGTTGCAGGGAGAGAGCACCCTTGCTAAGGCGAGGTGAATCATCAGTGGGCTGCAGGACTGGCCAGCTAAGAGGCTGGGTATAACAAGCTAGCCTCAGTGTTTTATTTTCTTTTAGGTTTTGGAATTTGTGAGAGAAGGGTTAACTAAGGAACTTCATGACACCTGTCTGCTGCAGCTTTTATTTGAAAGAACAGGGGAGATCACTGTCCTTTTCAAAGGGGCCAGGTGTGTCCAGGGGTCTGGACCACATGGCCTCTCTAGGCACCCTTACCTGCTGAGGTCCTTTCTGGGAGAGACAGCCACAGGCCATTCAGCCCAGGGCCTGAAATATTAGGCCTAAGATTACCTGTTATTCCAAAGACATAGAGAACTTGGAATTCTAGCTCAAGGCTGAAGCCGGGCTTGGGCCATGTAGCTTCTACCTCTGATCCCATTTGACAGATGGAGTCTAGTGAAACCAGGTATGTTTCCAGAATCACACAGGCCTAGAATACCCACCTCCTCGATACAATGCTCCCCAGTCTAGCAGGCCACCTGTGAGATTTCATCTGAGAACTACTTCCAGGGGGACAGATGAACTCTTTTCTCAGGCTGATACCATGGGGAGGTTCCCATCTGGGCCAGGATGTGCTTTGCTTTGTGCATGTTGCCTGGGGTCTAGGTGCCAAGCTCCATGGGCATTACAAAAGCAAAAGCCTCAGAACATGCCAGGAACTGCAGTGGGAAGCAAAATGATCAGTCCCTCCAGGCAGGCTGTAGACATCCAGGATGGATGGGCATCAGCAAAGGGGCCAACCTGGGAAGCCTCCTTAGAAGGTGGGGGATTCTGACAGGGGCCTGAGGACAGAGAGGGCTTTCCAGGGAACGGGGTGGGAGATGGCTTTAGGCGCCAGACTATGGAAAGTGAACCTCCTCTTTCAGGCAAAAGGGAGCAACTGGAAGGTTTCTGAATGGGGGATTAAGGTAACCAAAACCTAGTGAAAGTGCACAGGGTGGCCCAGAGGGAAGAACAGCTGGAAACCAGGGGGAAGCTGGAGCAAAGCCACTCTCCAAGGACTGAGGGTTTCCACAGGTCCGAAGGAGTGAGAGTGGGGAGGAGAGGTGGCTGTAGGCATGGCGCTGGGGGTTCTGGTGGAATCCACAGGCTGTCTCAACCCTGAGGCCTTCCATCTCTGTTTACTGAACACGCCACGTCAGGCACTGGGCTATGGGCAGGAAAGCCAAATGTGAAAGATATACATCTGTACTCAGGGAGCTGTTCCCAGTGAGAAGCAGAGATGAAGGGGCCACTGACAAGGCTGGGGACCAGAGCTACATGGAGGTGGATGCAGGCCTGGGGGCCTAGAGGGAGCCACAGGAAGGGGCCCCTCAGGCTCTCAGGGCTCTGGCTCTGCCACTGACAAGCTGTGTGATCCGGGTCGCTGATCTTCACTGTGCTTCATTATTCTCACCTAGAGTGTGGGTATAATACTGGTCCCTACCTCAGGGGACTGCTCCCAGGGTAACGAGCTCATCACGGTAATGGCTCCCTGCCCCCCGATGCTTTCGAAATGCCAGGAGCTGCCCAACATGCTTCACTTACAAAACGCATTTGATCTTCATAACATTCTTATGAGGAAGATATGCCAGTTTTGTGGGTAAGAGCATTGAAGTTTGATGAGGTTAACAACCTTGCCCAAGAACATATAATATTTGTGGGGGGTGGCAGTCAGGCCACCAAGCACCACGTTATGCCACCCCTTGGTGATGTGTGTCAGGAGCTGAGCTCAGAGTCTGCCTCGTAGTGATTACGCCAACATGCTTGCTCTTATCATACATAGTGAGTCTGTGCAGGTGACTGAGGGCTGTGCAAGCTCCTGGGCTAAGGAGTTTCGACTTTATCACAGGAAACTGGGAACCCTGAAAAGTTTTAAGTGGGAGGGGTGCCATGGTCAGAAGGTGTTGTAGAAACCTCCCTGGGACAGCTGGGTAAAGTGGGGATTGGAGGAGCAGAGGGGAGGCTGTTGCAACAGTGCAGGATGGAGGTGTGAGGGTCTGAGCCAAGCCAGCCAGTGGGGCAAAGCCAATTTGAAAAATATGGAGGAGAGACTCAACTGAATGTGCTGATGAGAGAGGGTGGTGGGAGCGAGAGGGAGGGGAAACTGAGGGTTACCTACAGATTTCTGACTTGAGGGGCAGGGGACAGGACTGTCTCGGTCACAAGGCTTGATATAGCATGGACCGGGTAAGGAGTTTAAACTAGAGATGAGGATTTGGAGCAGCTCCCCCGAGGTGTCAGGGGACAGTGTGGGCACAGACGAGATCACTCAAGGAGCTGGGCCATGTCAGGGCAGAGGCCCGGGGATGGGTTCTGAGCTCACTCACATATGGAGGAGAGCAGAGGAAGGGGAACCAGTAAAGGGGAAGGAGAAAGGGAAGGGAGTGAGACAACTGAGGTCAGAGAAAGAGACGGGGGTTGAGGAGCACAGAGGGGCCCCCGCATCAAAGGCTGGCGAGGGAGCCCACATAGCTGCATGGATCCCGAGAGTCAGGAGGAGGCTGGCGCCTTGGCAACCACAGTTTTGATGAACGGTGGGGACTGAGCAGAGCACTGGAGAGTGGAAGGTGAGGCAGTAAAGGACTCTGTGTGTGTGTGTGTGTGTGCGCGCGCGCGCACGCACACGCGTGAATGCGTTTATGCAAGTATGTATGTGCGGTATGTGTGTATGTTTGTATGTGTAACTTGAGAAGGAACAGAGAAGAGGAAACGGGATGGAGATGGGCTCCTCACAGACCCCATCTTGGGCAAGGGCAGATGATGCCTTTGCTTCTACACCTAGAGCAGGATCAGGAAGAAGAAGTAGCTAAAACTGGGATATGAGGGGACAGATGGATGCCCACGAGTGGGGGAGAGAAGACAGGAGGAGGAGTGGACATCATAGTTAAAGGACAACACGAGGAAGGTGGAGAGTCAGCACCCAACCTCACCCGCTTGGGGTTCGCCATCCTGCTCCTGTGGCACTTCGAGCAAATCGCTAACTCCTTTAAGCCTCTGGACAAATAGGATTTGTGACCACCCCGCTTCACTGCCAGGCACAACAGAGACCAGCACTAATGTGTGCAGTTGGCTCACCCTGGCCTGTCAAAGTAGATGGTTAGTTTCAGAGAACTTGTGAGCTGATTGTTAAACGTGGCCATCATTAAAAATTAAATGGCATAAACTTACAATTAAATGAGTCACATTAACAAAAGTAATAACTATTCAATTAGCATATCTACCGCATCAATACAGAGGACCTACTGTAATGGTGCACTATGGTGGACCTCGCCCGTCTGTGTTCGGTGATGTCATGCTGGTGGCTTGAAGTCACCCATAGCGGGAGTATTTACATCACACAAATCAGCAAACACCACAGATCAGGCGTTTGTCCCCAGACAACCATTGCTAAGTATTGCCAGCATTCCTGTGGACAAATTGCTTACAAAACACTCATTGGGAACCTGAACAGGGGCACTGCAGCCCCACAACTCTTCTGCAAGCCCATCAAAGCCTGATGGTGACCCTAGCTCCCCAGGGAAGGGGCAGGTGGCTCAGTCCCAGGGGAGGGAAGTTGAGAGCAGGGCCTCACATACCCAGGCTGAAGAGGTTGACAGCGCCATAGTCCAGGAAGTAGCAGATGTGCCGGGCGTTCTTGGACATGGAGCTGAAGGTATGCGCACAGCTGGATGCAAGGGGGTACACGCAGCTGGTGCTCATGTACACCAGCAGAGGCCAGGAGTAGCTGTCATTCTGGACGTCTGTCACGTACAGTGTGGTAACGAACCTCCACATGAAGAACCTGGAACACAGCATGGCCCATGCAATCCTGGTGGCTGGAGGCTCCTCTTATCCTCTCCACCTCATTATCTTCTGCTTCCATTCCCCTGGGATGGCCCATCCCTGCATTTTCTCACTTCGGTGAAATGCCATGAGCAAGGGTGGGTCAGTGGGGTCAGTTTTTAGTTGGAAATAGGCAGGAGGGGCAAGAAGAGAGCCTTGTCTAGTCCAATCCCTTTCCCCTGCTTGTGGTGACAGATCCCTCTTACATCTTGCCCAACTGATTCTCTAGCTTCATCTTGCACACTTCCAGGGATGGGGAGCTCACTACAAGGTAGCTCTGAGTATTGGAAAGTTCTTCACTGAGCTGTCATCTGTCTCCCTGGAATCTATCTTCATTAGATCAGCCCTAGTTCTCCCCGATGGGACACAGAAAACGAGCCCATCAAATATTTTAAAGCAGTCTTCATAACCCATCCCCACCTCTTTGCATTCGACCATCCCTCATGGGATCCAAATTGGGCCTGGTCACCAGCCCTGTCATTTGTCTATGTCCCCCTTACAGGAAGGCTCCTCACACAGAAGCAATCCCTCAGCTAAGATCTTGAAAGTCTAGAAGACGGCAGGACATTTTTCTCCCTTCTCGTCTACACTAGTCCTCCCCTAACATCGCAATCACTTTTCTGAGTGGCCAAGGCCCACGCTGAGTCTCAGTCAAGCCTGGGTCTCTGGGCTCCATCTCTCCATAGAGATATCGCATGCCTCTGCATCAGTTCTGCCCGTATCCTCAGCCTATAACCCATGCAAGGCAGTCCTGCCTCCAGAGCTGCCCTCTTTTACAAACTGATAGAGAGCTGGCTCCCTTCCCTCAGACTCTCCTAGGGAAGGAGACTACAAAACTTTTCATGCAGGAGCCCAAGGAGTATCGCCAAATCCTCTGGCTGTACTTGTGATCTCTTTCCTCCTGTCCTAGCAGAAATAAAGCTTAAGCTTTTTTCTGTTTCTCAAAATACATCCTTTGATCATCTCGAGATTATTCCTTGCTCTCATTTCCTCAGGGCATCTTACTCCTGGCTTTCCTAAGGCCTCCTGATACTCTGTGTTGCCAGTCGGCAGGCCGGGGGCATCTTTACAGATTGCCCTAGTCCATCCACCACAAGCCTAAATGCTCTCTTCTCCCCAGGGAGGTTTCCAGCACCTTCCCCTGAGCTGTGGCCCTGGGTCTGTCTCTGACTTCTGATGGAGCACGCTGCTTCCATCGGGCCCATCTCCACCTGCGCACAGTCTTGGTCCCTCTTGGCTTCTTGACACGATCAGGAGGGGAGTCCAGAGACCAGCCTCTGCCAGAACTTACTGTGCAATGTAAGCAAGCCCTGGGCCACATCTTTGTCTATCAATGGTGATCTAAGTGGGACAGTGACCAGCATGACCTTTGAGGTCTCTCCAGCTCCGATATCCTATGATTCGACCTCTGACCATGTCGTGCACAGGCATGAGGTGTATGAAGCTGGTGTTTGGCCCCCCTTTCTCAGCAAGGTCCCTCTTCACCTTCCTGGCAACTCCAGTTACTTGTGCACACACACTCACCCCAGAGTTTTGCTCTTAGATGCTCCGTTAAACTGCTAACCTGACCAAGTGCCTACAGCTGCTGTGGTTCCAGAATGATTACAGAGCAGCCACAGCTCTGTGCCCAATGCCTTTTCCCATGTCTTCCCCCATAATCCTCACAACAACCCTGCGGGAGGTGTTGACTATCCTCCTGCTTTGCAGATGGGAAAATGGGACTTGCTTAAGCTCATAACATTTTAACCAGGGCTTCTGGAAGACCCAGAAAGCCTCTAAGACTAAAGGGGATAAGATCAAATCAGACCCTGGAGCAGGGAAGCAGAGAAGACTGGGGAGCCATGAGGAGCCCCACGAGTCCTATCACAATCCAAGCCCTAAAACTCACCTCAGCTCTAGCCCACACACCACAGGGAGACCCCAAACCCCAGCATGGCATCTCAGCCTTCCCCACCCCAGCTATGTTTTAAAGAAGCCCCAGTTCCCAGGGGTCATGAATGACACAGCTGGCCAATGGGGCTGGCTGGAAGGTACCAGAAAGGCAGCAAGTGAGTCCAGATGTTGAGGGTCTCATTGGTCATTTGGAAAAGGCTGAGGATACAGGCAGTGGCAGAACTCTGTGGATGTCGGTAGCCAAAGAGGATGCCCTGTTCATGGAACACCTGTAGGGGGAGAAATAGGGACACGGAGGTGAGATGAGATGCTACATCTCTGGTAGCATATTTTTTCTCCCAGGCTGTGCACTCGAACACTTGAGCCTGGAACACTTGACCCCAAGTCCTTGACCTGTGTCAAACTGCTCCCCTCTCTTCCTCCCCCTGTAGCTTCTAAAATCCCATGTCCTTCAAGAAGCCTGCAGCCAGCTGGAGGAGAGAATTCAAGGCCCTGGCTCCCTTCGAAGATCCAGCTTGTTTTCCATTCTCAGACACACTTACTCCTGTCATGAATATTGCCTAAGAATCTGGTCTGGCACCCTCTGCCTGGGGCCTACAGCCTGGTCCTTGGATGGTTTCGCGGCTGGTTGACATATATGCTGTCTGTCCGAGCAAACATGCCCCAGATGTCAGGGGTTGGCGGTAAGATCTCTGCAGGAGATCCCTCCAGCGTCAGGATATATTTACCAAGGCGCTTCATAAAGGCCTTTTGATGATGAAGACTATGATGGCATCAGCCTGGGCTGAGGTAGAGAAGAAGGCTGGCCGCAGCAGGCCCGCATGAGCCACCTCTACCCCATGCAGTCCACTTGGCAAGTCTCTCAGGAACCAACTGCATGAGAGACTTGGACTGGTCAGGTAAAATACAGTCTATCAAACTGCCTGGACAACTGCATTAACTCCATTAAAAATGATCCTTGTGAGAAACATGGCAAGAGGGAAAAAAGTTGAGGGTATAATATTAAGTGAAAAAAGCAGAATGTAGATTGTATTCCAGACATGATTATAAGAATTATAAGAAGTTTCAGTACATATGGTAGGACAGAGGCTGGGAAGAAATAGAAAAGTCGAGAGTTTCATTTGTTGAGGTAGCAGGATTTGCAGGAGACTTTTTTTCCAACTTCATGGTGATTTAGATCAAGGTTTCTCCATCTTGACACTATGGACATTTTTGGCCAGATAATTCTTTGTTGTGAGGGGCTGTCCTAAGTATTCTTAAGCATTATCCATGCCTCTCCCTAATAGATGCCGGTGGCACACACTGTACCCCCTCCCAAGTTGTGACAACCAAAAATGTCTTCGGATATTGCCAATGTCCCCTGGAACTAAAATGTCCCCTCTTAAGAACCACCGATTTAGATGAATGTGTTATAAATTTTGAAAAGTAAATTTAAAATGAGTAGATTAACTGAGGCAAATAAAATACCGGTAATCATAATACAAATCAGGCCGCAATAAATTTTCCACCTTTCTCTTTGATTTTCTAGGGCTGTGGAAGGAAGGGAAGGCTGGGAGAATTCTACTTAGATAGCCATCTCTCATTTAGGTTACCAACTTCTTAGTTTAAAGGAGGACCCTTATTCAAAGATACACAATAAAGAACGTAACGTGAATTATCTCTTGAGGTTCCGAGTAAAGAGTTCGCATGGAATTGTGGAGAAAGTAAGGGGTTCTCAGAGTAACGAGTTAAATGTGGGCCACTGAGGTGCCATGTGACCTTGAGCTGCGTCACACCTCTCAGGGCCTCAGCCTCAGTGTCCTCACCTATGAAACGGAAGGCATTAGCTAGCTGGTCAGTACATTCCCTTCTTAGTTCAATTCTAGGTTAAACTGGTCAACTGGGGAAGGAAGATAATGAAGTTGGTTTATGGTCCAGTGAAAAAATACTATTTGAATTAGCTTTGGGTCTTAACTAATTAAAGTGATTTGTTCCAGTTTTAGATTCATCGTTCAATTCCGCTGACATGCCGGTTTCCAGTGGACAGGCTTCTCTAATG